GACCCACACATAGTCAATATACAGTCGGTCGAATTCAGACAGAATAACGACCGTAAATGGTCCCATGGAGAAAAGAGAATAATAGGAAGAAGGCAGCAGACACTGGTCCATAGAAACTTTGAAATCCTTCTAAGTATGTGTCGTGAGGGCTCCATACTCTGGAGCTGGTGACTTCTCCTTAGTTGAGTGTCAGTGTAAGCTCTAAAAACTGTGCCTAAATCTACTGTCCATTATGTTCCATGACTCTTTTTCAGGTTTCTTTTTCCCCTACTCAGGTCATAATTTTAAAAGAATTGGTGTGATCATATACAGTATGGAAGATTTAGAAGATTATAGGCACAGGAAATCTGTAACATCTAAGCTTCACCTTGTCATCTTTAATGTAAATCTAAACTGAGGTAGATTAGATACTAGTTGCACCTGAAAATCAGGAAGGGTTGACACTTTGATAAGTAAAATAACTGTCATCAAATGCGCAAATTATGAAGTTGACTACATGCTTAGGGAGACTCTTCTGCTCATGTAAGGCAGTTTTTTCTCCTTCCAAGGTAAGCACCCCACTTCACTACCCTACAAATAAAAACAAAGCACCTAAAATGATTCACAAACAACTGATGGAGAGTTTAGTGTTACCATATACCTACTTCTATTAGCCTTGGAGACTAAGAAATTTAAAGAATTTGCCTCTCATTCTGGAATGGCAAATAGCAACACGTCTGAGGATGGATGAAAAAGGAAATGGCAACCTACTCCAGTATACTTGCCTGGGAAATCCCATCAACAGAAGAGGCTGGTGGGCTACAGTCCATATGGTTGCAAAGAGTCTCACATGACTGAGCAACTAACTCTTTTGAAGATGGAAGAAGTTCTAGAAAGCATTCTTCCAATTATCCTTAAAAGTATATTATCTAGGGTGAAACAGATCACCAGCCCAGGTTGGGTGCATGAGACAAGTGCTCGGGCCTGGTGCACTGGGAAGACCCAGAGGGATCGGGTGGAGAGGGAGGTGGGAGGGGGGATCGGGATGGAGAATACATGTAAATCCATGGCTGATTCATATCAATGTATGACAAAAACCACTACTGTATTGTAAAGTAATTAGCCTCCAACTAATAAAAATTAAAAAAAAGACTACATTTCTTTTAAAACATTTTATAACTCAGAATGTCTACTATTTTAATCTGATGTTTCCCAATAAATTAATTTTTTTCAATGAGATTTTACAGCCTTTACAGCATATGTTTATATGATTGCCTGCTGATATTTAGAACTCTTGAAGGATATGCTGAGATCTATTTAACTCACTCTTTATATTGACTAACTGAATTTTAGCTTAATATATATTGCAAATAACAATTAGAGGAAGCACAAGAGATTAAAGTGATTAAGTTATTCATATAGATACATAATAAATCCTCTATCTTATCAATATTTGGTTTCTTAATGTCTCTCACATCCATTCCTTAGCTTTCTCTCTTTCACGTTCCTGATTAAGGCTCCCACTTGTTTTGGGAGCAAAAGCTTTTGCACAGCAAAGGAAAAAATAAACAAAATGAAAAGATAACCCACAGATAGGAAGAAATATTTGCAAATGATGTGGCCAACAAGAGATTAGTCTCAAAATTTACAAGCAGCTTATGATGTTTAACAGAATTAAAACCACCAAATCAACAAATGGGCAGAAGACCTAAAGAGACATTTCTCCAAAGAAGACATACAAATGGCCAGGAGGCACATGAAAAGATGTTCAACACTGCTAATCATGAGCGAAATGCAAATCAAAACTACATTGAGATATCACCTCACACAGGTCAGAATGACTATCATCAAAAAATCCACAAATTAATGCTGGAGAGGTTTGGAAAGATGGGAACCACCCTACCCTACTGGTAGGAATGTAAATTGGTATAGCCACTATGGAGAACAATGTGGAGGTTCCTTAAAAAACTAAAAACAGAATTGCCATATGACTCTGCAATCCCAATCACTGGGCATACATTCAAAGAAAAACATGATCCAAAAGGATTCATTCATTCATTGTTCATCATGTCAGTGTTTACAATAACCAAGACATGGAAGCACCCTAAATGTCCATTGACAGAGGAATGGATAAAGAGGATGTGGTATACTTATACAAAGGATATTCAGTTCAGTTCAGTTCAGTCACTCAGTCGTGTCCGACTCTTTGCGACCCCATGAACCGCAGCACGCCAGGCCTCCCTGTCCATCACCAACTCCCGGAGTCCACCCAAACCCATGTCCATTGAGTCGGTGATGCCACCCAACCATCTCATCCTCTTGTCATCCTCTTCTCCTCCCACCTTCAGTCTTTCCCAGCATCAAGGTCTTTTCAAATGAGTCCGCTCTTCATATCAGGTGGCCAAAGTACTGGAGTTTCAGCTTCAACATCAGTCCTTCCAATGAACACCCAGGACTGATATCCTTTAGGATGAACTGGTTGGACCTCCTTGCAGTCCAAGGGACTCTCAAGAGTCTTCTCCAGCACCACAGTTCAAAAGCATCAATTCTTCGGTGCTCAGCTGTCTTTATAGTCCAATTCTCACATCCATACATGACTACTGGAAAAACCATAGCCTTGACTAGATGGACCTTTGTTGGCAAAGTAATGTCTTTGCTTTTCAATATGCTGTCTAGGTTGGTCATAACTTTCCTTCCAAGGAGTAAGTGTCTTTTAATTTCATGGCTGCAATCACCATCTGCAGTGATTTTGGAGCCCAAAAAAATAAAGTCAGCCATTGTTTCCACTGTTTCCCTGTCTATTTGCCATGAAGTGATGGGACCGGATGCCATGATCTTAGTTTTTTTAATGTTGAGCTTTAAGCCAACTTTTTCACTCTCCTCTTGTTACTCAACCATTAAAAAGAATGAGATAAGGCCATCTGCAGCAACATGGATGGACCTAAGGACTGTCATACTGAATGACGTCAGTCAGAGAAGGAGAAATATCATATGACATCCCTTATATGTGGAATCTAAAAGGAAATTATGCAAACGAACTGACAAAACAGAAAGAGACTCACAGAGAGAATGAACTTCTGGTTGCCAGAGGGGAAGAGATAGTTATAGGGTTTGAGATAGACATGTACGTACTATTTAAAACTGGTAACCAACAAGCACCTACTGTGTAACACAGAGAACTCTGCTCAATGTAATGTGGCAGCCTGGATGGGATGGGAGTTTAGGAAGAATGGATACATGTACATGTATGGCTGAGTCCCTTTGCTGTTCACCTAAAACTATCACAACACTGTTAATCAGCTATACCCCAATATAAAATAAAAAATTTAAAAAAAAACAAAACAAAACAAAACTCAGCCCCATGAAAATGACTCTGAGCTTCTGCAGTGGTTCTTTCTTCCTATATCACAACCCACTGCTTCTAATCCAGGGCTGGTCAAACTCTTATATGGTTAGGGAACGCCTCCCACCCACCACTCCCTAATCTGTCATGGACCAATATTTTGAAAAACACAAAATCGTATGTTTGGAAGTCGCAGTAATGTTGAATTGCTTCACAGTCCAAAGTTGAGCTTCCTCCCTTTCTCTTTGCTTATCCCAGAGTGGTAAATAAGAGCATGCAGACCAGTATTGGTGCTCAGCAGCACATATCTGCTTTCTCTTAGTTCCTGATCCACTCATATCCTTGGGCTGCAAAAGGTCAATCATAATCTCTCCACTCTTTCTTACATTCCAACCTTCAAATTCTGCTCCTCCCCACTCCCCCACCCCCTGCCCTTAGGAGAAGCTCTAAAGAAAAGAAATTATATTGGCTCATGTCATTTTTCCTGCTCTGCCTATGGCTGCTCTGGGTTCCCATGCCAACCCTTATAACGTCTGAGTGGATAAGTGACATCACATTGTATGACACATGGATGACTGAGGAGCATCCCTTCTGAGACCACGGGTATGGTGTGGGTAACTCTGACCGCCACATCATTTGCAGAACTTTTCAAATTAGTTCAGGTTTTTATAAGAAGGCAATAAAAAGTGATATACAAGACCCATGTCACCAGATTGACTCCTAGTTAAGTAATAAATGGGATTTTCTCTCATTTGAAAGGGCTGACGGTTAGGTGCCATCCCTGGCCAAACCGGAGGTGCTAGGATGCTGTGGTTAGTGACCAGCTGAGCAATTTCACACACAAATCGTAGTGCTGACTTTAACTGGATGTGCTGTTAATCGCTGTTCACTAACACAACCTGAATTCAGGAATGAATAAATGAGTTCTTCCCAGAGGGCACAATCATTTTTCAATCTACTTTCTCTGTGGTAGGTCATGGTTCCAGAGAGACTGCTTGAGAATTGATTCTATTAAGAGAAAAATAAGTAAAACCTGCCTCTAGATTTTTCCTTCTGATCAGCAGGGACGTCCTCGGCGTTCAGTGATTAAGATCCCACACTTTCAATGCACAGGGTGCCATTTCCATGGCATTTCCCTGGCCTTTGGAGCTAAGATCCTACATGTGGCACATGGCCACAAAAAAAAAGGTTTTTCCTCTGATCTGTAGAGTCACAGGAAGGAAACAGGAAGGGTGGCAAGAGAGCTCAGAAAAAGCAGTGGATAACACCAACTACGGACAAAACACAAGTATCCAGAATTTAGATGCTTACCCAACATCAACTACTGGTTTCAGGGTATAAAAGACATGAGGCTAATCTGGACATAGTACAAAAGACTTCACAAAGATGCTAGTTAGAGATTTACAAGGAAGTGTTCATGGGAATCTCCTGCCAAGCTTTGGAAGCCCCACTGCAGACCAATCAAGTTGGAATTTCTAGGACTAGCTAGGGAGAAGGTACAAGATGGTATGGAAAAATCAAATGAACTTTTGTGCCAATCCAGTACATGCCAGTTTCCCCAGGGAAAGTCCATTTGATACCTCTTATGGAAAATCAGTGCCTGTTGATTATTTTTAGCTTCCCTTTTTATACTTTAAGTATCCTAGTTTGGATAATAAGAGGTGCAATGTATTAGAATTCACATAGAACAATCCTTGCTGCTCTTGGTAACTAAGATGATGATGGTGCTTGGCCTGTCGTTCTTGATGAATTTGTTGAGTGCCAAGAAGTCCACCTAACATCACAGAAAGGACTCTTGTGAAGAAAATGCAAACCTTCAATTGATGCGAGACAGATAAACAGGAGAAAATCAAACAAAAGTTTAGTAACATGCATACATGAAAGAAACCCAGGAAAATCAAGTGACTCACTAAAAGAGCCAAAACCCTTCCCTTAAACACCATCTCCAGCTAAAAATAAAAGAGGATATTGGGGGCAGTGGTTTGAGACTTCAAAGAGAGGGAAGACAATATTTGCTAAGTTGACATTTGCAGGACCCCATAGAGACAACTGGAGGCAGGCGGAATCTGATGGCTAGGCCCTGACCAGTTTCCTGCACCACACCCAGCACTTATTATCTGCAGATGTGAAGGTTATATTTCAGGACAGATCCTCTATGAAAATTATCAATATTTTAGGCAGTTAAGAGGAAGTTCAAAGTTTCTTCCTTAGTCATTTAGGCCTTACTTGTTTTTAGCTCAAAATAATCATCATGCCCAAGAGACATTGTGGGATGGTGATTTATTCCCTTACAAAGATGTCAGTCAGGACCATCACAATCCATTATTTGGGATTCAATTATGTGAAAACTCCAATAACAGGCACTGGAGAATCTTAATTCTTTTCCTCTCAGAGACTCCTGCTGCTGCTGGTAAGTCACTTCAATCAGGTCCGACTCTGTGTGACCCCATGGACGGCAGCCCACCAGGCTCCTCTGTCCACAGGATTCTCCAGGCAAGAATACTGGAGTGGGTTGCCATTTCCTTCTCCATCAGAGATTCCTAGGTCAATGCAAACACACCTACTTCCGACCCCACCACCTTCTCAGCATACCAAGGAGGTCTTAAAAAGGGTGACAGGTCATCAAAAGGCTGCTGTGAGGCTGAGCCCAGGACACGGGGTGCACACCACCTTTGCCTTTACGTCTCATTATCTAAATAGCACTGCGCAAAACAACAGTCTCAACAAGTATCTAGAGAGAAAATGGCAACCTTTCATGAAGCTAAGGACCTTAGCTTCCTCTACTAAAGTTCTGACTAAATAAGGGCTACCAGATAAATACACAGGTCCCAGTTAAACTTGAAAGTCAGATAAATAACAATTTTCTTTTTTAGTACATATACATCCCATGCAATATTTGGGACATACTTATACTAAAGACAGTATTCACTGTTTCTCTGAAATTCACATTGAACCAGTTGCGCTGCCTATTTGCTCGCTAAGGCTAGTCATAAACTAACTCATATCTCTACAACCACATATACTTCTCAGCCCCACCCCTTCATTCTGGCCTAAGTCACACCCCAAAGGAGGTGCAGAACCCGAATCTGAACACAATCAAGGTCAGATAGCAGCAAAGTTATACTCTGATTTCTGGATTAGTGGATGAAAACTTTTCTTATGAATAAGAGGATATTGGGCTGCATCCCAATAGACCTACAAGCCCTGTACTTGCCAGTCCTCAGACAGAAGAGAGGGCCCGGAGTCAGCACCAGAGACATCAATGGTTTAATGGACAGGGGAGCTTACATGCCTGGACCAAGGTCCTGGAGAGACACCCCACCGTGTGCGGAGCACTTTGCAGCAGATTCTTTCCCAGGAGGAGAGGGAGGTTACCAGTCAGAGGGGGAACTGACATCAGGTTGGCTCACCAGTTACCAGAGACACCAGCAGAGGGCATACCCCTTACCACCTGCTATTAAGCTATCATGGCAGAGCTGTTCTGATCCAAAGTTAGAACATCCAACTTTGAAACTACCCCAAGTTAATCAGCTATAACCCAATAAAAAATAGAAAGTTCAAAGCTTGAAATAAGTAAATAAATGTAACTTGCATGCATGCATGCTAAGTCGCTTCAGTCATGTCTGACTCTTTATGACCCTATGGACTATAGCCCACAGGCTCCTCTTGTCCATGGGATTCTCCAGGCGAGAACACTGGAATGGGTTGCCATGCCCTCTCCTCCAGGGGATCATCCTGACCCAGGGATCAAACCTGCATCTCTTGAGACTTGTGTATTGCAGGCAGATTCTTTACCACTGAGCCACTGGGGAAACCCAAATATAACCTATACCTTCTCAAAATAAATAAATAAAGTTAGAACAATCATTAGCTGGGGCCTGAGGCAAGTATGTAGGAAAGTCAGTAATGTGAGTAGAGTGTAGCTGAAGCAGGCACTGGTCAGGCAAGGGTTGAACAGAGAGCAAGAGAACAACCTTGCTGGGTGACCTGACCACACACAAGGATAGGACCATGTACGGGTAAAAATGTGGTATCACTTTGAGAGTTTTTGCCTGGGCGAGTCAGCACTCCCCAAATTTATGGGATTCCTGACTTCTACCCTTGGATTCCCCACACCAGATTCCCACTAAAATCTTCCTACCTCTGGGATATCCTCACTAAAGAATTGTTCTAGACAGCAGTCTATTGCCAGCCTCTATCCAGGCAAATCAGCAAGAAGAAAAATCAGGTTCAATGAATCTGCTCTTATACTTCATTATACTTCAATTACAAATTTTTTAAGAATGTTGCTTTGAGAGATATAAAACCTCCTGAAGGAACATCTGAGATAAATCATTAATAGTTATGGTACCAGAAAATTTAAGTTAAACCATGCAGCTTTATGTTATTCTCTGCTCTTAAATGAAGACACATGTGAGCCCACCCACATAAACACATAATTGTTGCTATCAATCTTTGTAGCCCTGAAGTCAAATCTTTAGGTGTCACCTAAATGGAGGATCTCACCAAGCCTTGTTCAGTGAGGATCTTTATAAAGTGGCAAAATCAGGACTTGAGTTCATTTAGTGTGTGTGTGCAGAGAGCATACGAAGAGCATAGACTTACTGCCTGCCATCACTCAGGAATATCCTTGATCGTGAACCTGACTCCAGCGTTCCCCTTGATGGAAGCTCTGGTTCTGACTGCACAGTATCACCAATCTTTGATCCATCTCACAAACTCATCACATCCGTGTGCTCTTAGTGAAGTGAAAGTTGCTCAGTCGTGTCTGACTCTTTGTGACCCCATGGACTATACAGCCCATGGAATTCTCCAGGCAAGAATACTGGAGTGGGTTGCCTTTCCCTTCTCCAGGGGATATTCCCAACCCAGGGATTGAACCCAGGTCTCCCGCATTGCAGGCGGATTCTTTACCAGCTGAGCCACAAGGGACCTGTTAAATATTGGGTAATGCACTCAGGCTTCTGTTCCTGGAATTTGCTATAACCCAGATCCTTCTAATTAGAGACATAGGACTTGTTAATAAGCAATTCTATATTACATTTGTCATTATTTAAAAAATAATAAACTATTTTATAATCTTTGTGAGGAGAAGCTATACACTGAGCAGAAAATTGCTCACCTTTACGAATGTACCAATTCTTCTAAGCCATGATAAAAATATATACACAGATGTGCATCTATACAGAAATATAATATTTCTATTATTATATGTGTATAATATATTATATTCTATAATGGAATAATATTCTATTGTACTATGTATACATATTATATATGTGTGTATATATGCATATATTTCTATTATTAAATAACATGGAAATAGCACTTACTACCTGTGCTAAGCTTTTCAGTTCACCACAGAACACTTGCTGAAAATCTGGGCAAAATGATGTGCAGAAACTCCCAGGGTTAGAGGGGCCGAGGACAGAGGACCAGAGGCTGGCCATCATACCCAAATCTACTGTCTCCTCCTCCTCGCCCAGGTCTGCTTTGCGCAGGTGCCTCCCTGCTCCAGCACACGCTCCTTCTATAACATCGACATTCTCACTGCCAGGCAGAAGGAGCTGGGCACGTAACACCATGATTTTCATCAGCTGAGCATCGACTGCACACCCCCAAAGCATCCAAACAACTTCCGGTAATTTCCTGTGTCTGCAAATGTTTAACTGTGACCTAAATGACAACTGTCTTCCTTTCATCCTCTTTTAAGCACTTTCTGATCACAGAACCTATTCAATTTCCATGAAATCAATATCTTAAGCAGAACAAACAGTAGCAGTCTCTGAGGGCTGGCTAGGGGCAAAATGGTGTCTATTTTATTGCCGTTGTTTCTTTTTTTTTAAAATTAATTTGTATTGGAGTATACTTGCTTTACAATACCGTGTTACTTTCTACTGTATGGCAAAGTGCATCAGCTACATGTCTACACGTATCCTCTCTCTTTTAGATCTCCTTCCCAGTTGGGTCACCACCGAGCATCGAGGAGGGTTCCCTGTGCTGTAGGGAGGTTCTCATTCCTTCTCTACTTTAGGCTCGTGCCATGCTCAGCGGCATCTGTTCTGTCTGACTCTGTGCAGCCTCACAGACTGTAGTCTGCCAGGCTCTTCTGTCCATGGGAAGAACACCGGAGTGGGTTTCCATGCTCTCGTCCAGGGGAGCGTTCTGACCTAGGGATCAAACTCACATCTCCTGTGTCTCCTGCATTTCAGGCAGATTCTTTACTACTGAACCACTGGGAAAACCCTATCGATTTTATAAATAGTATCAATAGTTGTATATATGTCAATTCCAGTCTCCCAGTTTATCCCACCCTCCTCTCCCCTCACCCCATGTTCATATGTTAGATCTCTACATCTGTGTCTCTATTCCTGTTTTGCAGTGTAGCATCTAGAATTAGTAGCACTTAGATGTTCCAAACACACTTAAGAGAGAAAGAAGAAATATATATTTGGATCCTAAATACATACATTCAAGTAAACCAATTATCTCATCCATTCAAACAATTATTACTATACTCCAGATAATCTTTAGTAATTCAGCAATCTAGACCACCATTCTAATATCAGTAATTCTGCAAAGTTTATGGTACGAGTTTTCTTTTTTTAATCTCTCATTCTCCATCCTTTACTTTCTATATTCTGTTGTATATTTCATAGTTATTGAGTATTTACTGTGTATAAGAAAAGTTGTACTAGGTGCTTTATTTTGCCTAAAGTTATTAAACTTCCTGAACAATCCAGTAAAGGTTCTTTCTTGTTTTTGAACAAACATATTTAGCTACCCTTAAGAAGTAAATCAATAATGTTTACACAGTTTTAAACTTTTCAATTGCCAAATGCAAAGTATTTCTAAGATATGAAATTCTTTCTCTATACTAGAAGATAATTTTTCCCAATTAAAAGAAATTTAAAGAGATTTTAGGGGAGAGACTGGAGATATACTTTATATCAAGGAAAGTTATTTTTCCATTTTGGTTGATGTTCTATCTTTTGGCCACATTCCTGGGTGGAACAGAAAAGAAATATGATAAGTTTCTAGGACATAGTCCCCAAACAGTCTTATACAGAAGTTCATCTGGTCCTAATTACAACCCTATCAAGTAGGTGGGTGGTATTAATGGATCTTTAGGGGAATAGAAACCATAACACAGACATTTCAAGCATTTTCCTCTCCACCAACAGAGAAGTAACAACACAGCCTCTTTGGAAGGCAGCCCAGCACAGTGGAATAAAAATGAATTTGAGAGTCATCACACTTGAGTTTAAAACTGTATGATTTGGGGAAATTACTTTATGTCTCTACACATCTCCTTCCTCCATCAAAAGAATATGTTAGAGGCTTCCTTGGTGGCTCAGCGGTAAAGAACTCTTTTTAGATTTTTAGGCAACGTAAAATACATTATCTGACTGTATTTTCTAATACATTAGCTAAAACGTTAACATTTTGAAACTTCAAAAGGTGAGATTGTAATCACTGATTTTCATCACTGTAACCATCACTGATTTTACAAACAGGATTGTAATCATCACTGATTTTCCAATTCAGTTCAGCCACATAAAGGTTTCCCTTTCTGCTTCCAAGAACATGTTTTATATTCTCCAAGATGAACACCTATCTATGAAGGGCTACAACTGTCGTGAACTCCCATGTTCACCCCTGTCAACAACACCATATAAACCAGCAGATCCTGGGTTTGCCTTGGATTACAATTTAATACTGTTGTAGACTGAACACCAAACATTTGTTTGAAACATTCAATAAGAAAGAGGCAATATTGATATGGTTTCTGGTCATCTCACAAACAATTTTAGAAAAGGAGCAAGGCGGGGTGGGGAATAAGACAATATAATGAAGAAGGTATAAAACCAAGCTGATGCAGACATGGACAAACCCAATACTCCTGTTTCTCCCCACCTGTACCTTTAGAGTCTTAAGAGAGATGCTCACTAAATGATCCAAACAGAGAAGGACCCTGGAACAAGGAATGTTCTTCTCTGTCTGATAAGGACACATTTTCATCTGTGAGTTCAGCTTTCAGAGAGTAAGTACTTAGATCAATGAAGAAAAAAAAGGATTATCGAGGAAAATCAACTAAATCAATCATAATGATCGATAGGATGACAAACACTATAGCCACTCATATCCATGAGAGTAATTAGGAGCCCTGAGAACTCAAATATATCACAGTGTTTTTTAAGGAATGTGTGTATATGTGTGTGTGTTGTAATAGCTCAGTCGTGTCTGACTTTCTGGGACCCCACGGACTATAGCTCTCCCGGCTCCTCGGTCCATGAAATTCTCCAAGCAAGAATACTGGAGTGGGTTGCTATGCCCTTCTCCAGGGGATCTTCCCAACCCAGGGATCAAACCTGGGTCTCCTGCATTACAAGCAGATTCTTTACCATCTGAGCCACAAGGGAAAACCCCAAGGAATGCATAAGAATTTCCACATCAATTCATCAAAAGCAAAAACCTCATTTTTTTGAATTATTCTGTCTTCTTTTAATTTTAATCTCCTTTCTCAATGACCATTCATTTCTAATGACTTTCTTCAGTGTAATAATCTCAGAGCCAATCAATCATTGAATAAGTTCTCATTGCATGTTTAACATATACTCAGCACTACATCAGAGGCCAGATGAACACTAGAGAAAGCTTTTCTAATACTTCCTGACGTCTTTTTTTTTTCATTATTGAAAGACAGATCTCAATGCTTAATAATGCTTGCCATGTCCTCTAATAACCCTTGCATAATCTGTTGCTAAATCAAAGCTTGATGAAAATACAGTCAGGATGTAATCACCTTTTCCTCACCAGAGGCTTCATATGATTTCATATTTGAAGAGGAAATAGTATCGTTTTATAGGAAGTGCATGATCAACTCAAGCTTTGGTCCTGACGCTCAGAATAACTAATCCTCAAGGTTGAGTAGAAGCTCCTCTTGCTTTCTCCCATGGCTCACATGGCCAAGGGATGTCTTTGGACTAGAGAAGAATAACAAGCAGATTTATCTTGGAGACTGTGTGAAGCCAATTAATTAAGAAAAACTCACCTATAGGGAACCATAGTTTTTAAGCCTGTCTCTAAATTATTAGCTGCTCAAGAGCTAGAGAAATAAAACTCAAAGTGTATATTTTTGAATTGCACTAGTCTGACCCTGTAGCCATACATGTTCTGTACTCGATGGTTGTTCACTTAATAAGCAGTGGGGAGGGAAGAGCAGAGGACAGAGAGGAGAGGAAAGCCACCTACTTATGCAAAAGGAGACACTTTCAATGAAATCATCTGTTAGTACTGGATTTGTTTTTCCGTGTACAGTTCCCATCCATGGAAAGGACAGCAGGGCCCTATTGTTTAACAAACCACTTACTCAGGATTATTGGCACCAACTTGCAGTGAGCCAACAAGTCTAGAGAAGTCACATGTTTCCCCCTTCTTTCAAAAGAAGATACTGTTTCCTTGGCAACTGAAAGTGTTTGGTTGGGCTTTTTTTTCCATTTATAAAGTATAAACAAGAAGGGAGTCCCGCCACATGGAACTTGGTTTAGATTTCCCTGCCTCAAGCAGCTGAAATAACCAATTTGGCGTCTGAACATCACTATGTGCTAGATCTATATTTTGTCTTTATGGTCAAGTCTCAGACAAATAATAAAGGGTAAGTGAAATACAGAATGCAGGGTTTTATAAAAAATTTTAATTGAAGTACAGTTGACTTGCAATGCTGTGTTAGTTTCTGTTATAACAGTAAAGTGGTACATATATATATATAACTTTTTTTTTTTATATATAACTTTTTATATTCCTTTCCATTATAGTTTATTGCAAGATATTGACTATAGTTCCCTGTGCTGCACAGTAGGACCTCACTGTTTATCTGTTTTATATATAAATAGTAGTTTCTATCTGCTAATCCCAAACTCCTAGTTTATTCCTCCCCTAACTTTTCCCCTTCGGTAACCGTAAGTTTATCTTCTATGTCTGGGAGTCTGTTTCTGTTTCATATATACATTCATTTGCATTACTTTTTAGATTTCACATATAAGTGCTAACATATAATATTTGTCCCTGTGTGACCACTTCACTTGGTGTGATAATCTCTAGGCCCATCCATGTTGCCATAATGCAAATGGCATTACTCTGCCAATGTAGTTTTTGATGCCATTATTATTATTTCCTAATCAGGAGGTTTCTGAAATTCAAGTGACTAAAAAGTTCTTACTCTTAACCAACCAACAGTATACTTTATTTTTCAAATAGAACCAACTTTTTAATGTAAATGAGACAGCTTAGTCAATACTTTTTCCCTACTAGGTAGAATGTTCTCAGCAGCTCTGGAGCTTTGAAAAAACTCTAAGCTCAAGCAAGAAGTCACAATATTCAATCACCTTTTCTACACTGGCAGGGGCATCACAGGAGGGCGGGATTAGAGGATAGTGGCTAAGGTGCCAATCATGAATGTCTGCTTTTTGGAGACAGAATGCTAAGCACTTGTTTCCACACTCTCCTCCCCACTGTGCTCTCTCTCTCTCTATCACTCTGCCCGCTCCCAAGTCTGGTGCATGGAAAAGCTGAAGACAAGCTAACCCTCCCA